ACTGTGAGAGACGGAATCTAAAACAAAAATCCAGAAAATCACATTGTATGATTTTTAAGTAATTAATTTGCATTTTATTGCATGACATAAGTATTTGATCACCTACCAACCAGTAAGAATTCCGGCTCTCACAGACCTGTTAGTTTTTCTTTAAGAAGCCCTCATGTTCTCCACTCATTACCTGTATTAACTGCACCTGTTTGAACTCGTTACCTGTATAAAAGACACCTGTCCACACACTCAATCAAACAGTCTCCAACCTCTCCACAATGGCCAAGACCAGATAGCTGTGTAAGGACATCAGGGATAAAATTGTAGACCGGCACAAGACCGATGGGCTACAGGACAATAGGCAAGCAGCTTGGTGAGAAGGCAACAACTGTTGGCGCAATTATTAGAAAATGGAAGAAGTTCAAGATGACGGTCAATCACCCTCGTTCTGGGGCTCCATGCAAGATCTTACCTCGTGGGGCATCAATGATCATGAGGAAGGTGAGGGATCAGCCCAGAACTACACGGCAGGACCTGGTCAATGACCTGAAGAGAGCTGGGACCACAGTCTCAAAGAAAACCATTAGTAACACACTACGCCGTCATGGATTAAAATCCTGCAGCGCACGCAAGGTCCCCCTGCTCAAGCCAGCGCATGTCCAGGCCCGTCTGAAGTTTGCCAATGACCATCTGGATGATCCAGAGGAGGTGCTAGCTGTGCCACTAGAGATCCTGGTTCGAATCCAGGCTCTGTCATAGCCGGCCGCGACCGGGAGACCCATGGGGCGGCGCACAATTGGCCCAGCGTCGTCCAGGGTAGGGGAGGGAATGGCCGGCAGGGATGTAGCTCAGTTGGTAGAGTATGGTGTTTGCAATGCCAGGGTTGTGGGTTCGATTCCCACGGGGGGCCAGTATGAAAAATAAAATAAAAAATAAAATAAAAATAATGTATGCACTCACTAACTGTAAGTCGCTCTGGATAAGAGCGTCTGCTAAATGACTAAAATGTAAATGAATGGGAGAAGGTCATGTGGTCTGATGAGACAAAAATAGAGCTTTTTGGTCTAAACTCCACTTGCCATGTTTGGAGGAAGAAGAAGGATGAGTACAACCCCAAGAACACCATCCCAACCGTGAAGCATGGAGGTGAAAACATCATTCTTTGGGGATGCTTTTCTGCAATAGGGACAGGACGACTGCACCGTATTGAGGGGAAGATGGATGGGGCCATGTATCGCGAGATCTTGGCCAAGAACCTCCTTCCCTCAGTAAGAGCATTGAAAATGGGTCGTGGCTGGGTCTTCCAGCATGACAACAACCCGAAACACACAGCCAGGGCAACTAAGGAGTGGCTCCGTAAGAAGCATCTCAAGGTCCTGGAGTGGCCTAGCCAGTCTCCAGACCTGAACCCAATAGAAAATCTTTGGAGGGAGCTGAGAGTCCGTATTGCCCAGCGACAGCCCCGAAACCTGAAGGATCTGGAGAAGGTCTGTATGGAGGAGTGGGCCAAAATCCCTGCTGCAGTGTGTGCAAACCTGGTCAAGACCTACAGGAAACGTATGATCTCTGTAATTGCAAACAAAGGTTTCTGTACCAAATATTAAGTTCTGCTTTTCTGATGTATCAAATACTTATGTCATGCAATAAAATGCAAATTAATTACTTAAAAATCATACAATGTGATTTTCTGGATTTTTGTTTTAGATTCCGTCTCTCACAGTTGAAGTGTACCTATGATAAAAATTACAGACCTCTACATGCTTTGTAAGTAGGAAAACCTGCAAAATCGGCAGTGTATCAAATAATATATACAGAAGATAGCCCTATTTGGTAAAAGACCAAGTCCATTTTATGGCAAGAACAGCTCAGATAAGCAAAGAGAAACGACAGTCCATCATTACTTTAAGATATGAAGGTCAGTCAATACGGAACATTTCAAGAACTTTGAAAGTTTCTTCAAGTGCAGTCGCAAAAACCATCAAGCGCTATGATGAAACTGGCTCTCATGAGGACCGCCACAGGAATGGAAGACCCAGATTTACCTCTGCTGCAGAGGATAAGTTCATTAGAGTTACCAGCCTCAGAAATTGCAGCCCACATAAATGCTTCACAGAGTTCAAGTAACAGACACATCTCAAAATCAACTGTTCGGAGGGGACTGTCTGAATCAGGCCTTCATGTTCGAATTGCTGCAAAGAAACCAATAATAAGAAGAGACCTGCTTGGGCCAAGAAACACGAGCAATGGACATTAGACCGGTGGAAATGTGTCCTTTGGTCTGGAGTCCAAATTTGAGATTTTTGGTTCCAACCACCGTGTCTTTGTGAGACGCGTGTTGGTGATCAGATGATCTCCACATGTGTAGTTCCCACCGTAAAGCATGGAGGAGGAGGTGTTATGGTGTGGGGAAGCTTTGCTGGTGACACTGTCAGTGATTTATTTAGAATTCAAGGCACATTTAACCATCATGACTACCACAGCATTCTGCAGCGATACGCCATCCCATCTTGTTTGCGCTTAGTGGGACTATCATTTGTTTTTCAACAGGACAATGACCCAAAACACACCACCAGGCTGTGTAAGAGTTATTTGACCAAGAAGGAGAGTGATTGAGTGCTGCATCAGATGAACTGACCTCCACAATCACCCAACCTCAACCCAATTGAGATGGTTTGGGATGAGTTGGATCGCAGAGTGAAGGAAAAGCAGCCAACAAGTGCTCAGCATACAGTATGTGGGAACTCCTTCAAGACTGTTGGAAAAGCATTCCAGGTGACTACCTCATGAAGCTGGTTGAGAGAATGCAAAGCTGTCATCAAGGCAAAGGGTGGCTATTTGAAGAATCTCAAATATAACATATCTTTTGATTTGTTTAACACTTTTTTGGTTACTACATGATTCTATATGTGTTATTTCATAGTTTTGATTTCTTAATCTACAATGTAGAAAATAGTAAAAATAAAGAGAAATACTTGTGTGTGTCCAAACTTTTGACTGGTACTTCTGAGCTGAGTGCATTCGGTAAGTATTCAGACCACTTCCCTTTTTCCACCTTTTGTTACATTACATCCTTATTCTAAAATCGATTAAATAATAAAATTCCCTCATTAATCTACACAACAATACCCCATGATGTGAAACAGGTTTTTATAAATGTTTGCAAATGTATATAAAAATAAAAAAATAAACTTATTTACATAAGTATTCACACCCTTTGTTCTGAGACTTGAAATTGAGCTCAGGTGCATCCAGTTTCCATTGATCATCCTTGAGATGTTTCTACAACTAGATTGGATTCCACCTGTGGTAAAGTCAATGGATTGGACATTATTTGGAAAGGCACACACCTGTCTATATAAGGTCCCACAGTTGACAGTGCATGTCAGACCAAAAACCAAGCCATGAGGTCTAAGGAATTGTCCGTAGAACGCCAAGACAGGATTGTGTCGAGGCACAGATCTGGGGAAGGGTACCAAAAAATATCTGCAGCATTGAAGGTCCCCAAGAACACAGTGGCCTCCATCATTCTTAAATGGAAGAAGTTTGGAACCACTTCCTAGAGCTGGCCGCCTGGCCAAACTGAGCAATCAGGGGGATAAGGGCCTTGGCCAGGGAGGTGACCAAGAACCCAATGGTCACTGACAGAGCTGCAGAGTTCCTCTGTGGAGATGGGAGAACCTTCCAGAAGGACAACCATCTCTGCAGCACTCCACCAATCAGGCCTTTATGGTAGAGTGGTCAGACGGAAGCCACTCCTCAATATAAGGCACATGACAGCCCACTTGGTGTTTGCCAAAAGGCACCTAAAGGACTCTCAGACCATGAGAAGGAAGATTCTCTGGTCTGATGAAACCAAGATTGAACTCTTTGGCCTGAATGCCAAGCATCACGTCTGGAAGAAACCTGGCACCATTCCTACGTTGAAGCATGGTGGTGGCAGTATGTGCGGATGTTTTTAAGCTGCAGGGACTGGGAGACTAGTCAGGATTGAGGGAAAGATGAACGGAGCAAAGTACAGAGAGATCCTTGATGAAAACCTGCTCCAGAGCGCTCAAGACTCAGACTGGGGCGAAGGTTCACCTTCCTACAGGACAACGACCCTAAGCACACAGCCAAGACAACGCAGGAGTGGCTTCGGGACAAGTCTCTGAATGTCCTTGAGTGGCCAAGCCAGAGCCCGGACTTGAACCCGATCGAACATCTCAGGAGAGACCTGAAAATAGCTGTGCAGCGACGCTCCCCATCTAACCTAACAGAGCTTGAGAGGTTCTGCAGTGAAGAATGGGAGAAACTCCCCAAATACAGGTGCGCCAAGCTTGTAGCGTCATACCCAAGAAGACTCAAGGTTGTAATCGCTGCCAAAGGTGCTTCAACAAAGTACTGAGTAAAGGGTCTGAATACTTATGTAAATGTAATTTTTGCAGATATTTCAAAAAACCTGGTTTTGTTTTGTCATTATGGGGTATTGTAGACTTGAAATGTAGGCTAATTATTTATGTACATTTCATACACTTATGTTTTTCTTAAGAGAATAGCTACTGTTTTTCAAAAACATTTAATTGGCTATTTTGGTTAATGTCCTTGGTGCCCTAATAGATGGCCTTGTTGCCCTGGCAGATTGGGCATCTACTACTTGAAGGCCAAATGGCATTGCCCCTAAAATCACGAAATTCCAGGCCTGGTCGGGGGATTAACCATAAATAAGCATATCCTGTAGCCGTACTACAACACCTTTTTTGTTTTTATACGCGAGGTGAGGTCTTCGCGACTAATCTAAAAACACACACAGGTTCTTTAACATCAAGGAGTGGAGCATGGGGATAATAGGTAGCGATCAACAATCATTTATTTTCTTTCTAAGTTATATCTTCTTCAGCTCCAGTTACATGTTCCCTGGAAGCTCTCATACACAGGACATAAAAATGTTATATGTACAAATCCACAATTCAATAGAGACCTGAGCCATGGCATAACTCAGATCAGATCAATATTACTCACGGTCAAAGAACATGTGCTGTGCAACACCTCATGAGGGTGTGCCCAGGAAGAAGGAGAACGGGTCCAACTGGTAACACACTTATGATCCACTTCTGAATATGGACTAGCCCAATGCTGCCGCTCCTGTTCTGCCTGCGCACGCCAACCTTGTCATGGTAATGGGAATCAGCCAGGTTATATACTGAAGGCCAAGCATTTAATTACAATCACACACACCTGGCACTGACAGACGTACAAGGCTGCATTCAACTCAACAGTTAAACACTGTTACAATAATACTTTTCACACTACAACCATATTTGCATAAATCCCAATGCATTTCAATGGCCATAGACTTGAATGGGAAACGGTCTTCCGCCGTTTAAGCTAGAAATGCCCTTCAAACTTAAAGCGGCAACCAGCAGTTGTAACAATAACAAAGAGTCCTCCCTGCCCCTGTTTCGGTAAAAAACGGAGAGATGCATAGACACAGCTATGGATGCAAGGACTGACCATCCATTATATCAAAATTATAGGTTTAACCATGGTTTGATGCTATATAGTGTTTGTTTACATTTACTTTGTTTACAAACGTTGGAGTACAACAAGCTAATATTTTGGGTTCTGATGGTGTACGACAGTTGAACGCTCATGAGACATTTATAATTTATATTCTTCAAGAATCAATGGGTACATATCATTAATTTATGAGTAAAAAAATGTATGTAGCAACTGCAGATTACCCTTTTAAAACGTACAGACCGTTCTGCAATAGGTTGCTTGAATGCAGGTTTTGGATACCATTTATACTTTTTGAACTATAACCATTTTACATTTGCATGAAAGCTCTATAGACATGTCAATTTAGATTGCTTCAACACAGCTTTTTACTACCATAGTCCCAGTCGGTATTAGATAGAACACCTGCCTGTGGGGAAAACAACATGTGGTTACATAGGTTACCCCATTGGCTCACAGCAAAAAACGTAATCTTTTTCAAAAGCAATTTTCTTGTTGTCTGCTTGTTTTAGTTAATTACAAAACAACATTTAAGAAAAGTACAACAACATGTGTAAAGATGACTTTTCAACATTGCCTGCTCCAGAGGGTTCTCAACTACTTAGAAAAACATAATATTGTAGGGTTTCCCTCATGCCCCTTTTCATGACTGTGCTAGCAGCCACGTGAGTGAGCGCTAGCTAGCTACCGACTAGAACATTAAGCTAGCCAAGACCAACAACACAAACAAATGGACTATACAGCTACAAGTAGCGAGTGGAGTTACAAATGGACTATACTAAACATGTTAAATGTCTTACCTGTGATGTTTTTCCACACACACAGCTACGTGTGATGGACATCACCTTCCATAGGTCTATTTATTTGGCAAGACAGCTGTGCATGGCTGCATCTCACTGTAGTAGGCTATGTTTTGGTTATTTGGATCTCCATTCGCTTTTTGTTTACTGCTATTGTTTACCGTTTATGTAACTAGCCTAAATATAGATTGTGTCATGACTTTATCGACCTGATATTTTGTTTACTAGCCCTACTACTTGGTACCGCTGTTTTGTTCTGTTCGCATTCATTCGTTCGCATTCACAGTGTCGGTATTCTAAGCCAAACTGCTATTCAATATTTTTGTTTTCATGCATGAATAACTAGGCTACTACTTTCAGCATTTAGTTTGCATTATTTTGATAAGACAGCTGTGTGTACGGCTGCATGCACATAGCGTAATTCAACTATTACTAACAGCCTATCTATCTTGTAGCCTATATTCATTACCAAAACGGCCTTGCTTTAGTGTGTAGGGCACTGTCCATTGTGCTGATACAGCGCAGCGTAGATTGGCGCGAAATCTGTAGCCTACCTGTCACTTCAAAAGCACTCAATGATCTTGGAGTCTCAGCATTTGAACTTTATGTTTATTGTGGTATAGCATGATATAAGCATTATTGAATTTAATTCCAATGCAAGAACCCAAAACATTGTGCCCCCTCGCCGGTTTCAACTTCCCCTTAGTCACTTTATCCTGGCACTGAGTCTACTCCTGCGAGTCCTACCCATCGCCGGCAGGTAAAATCAAATCAAACGCTGTGTGTGGTGAACCTTGGAAGGAACCACTTACTAGGGAGAATAGGGGGGGTACTCTTTGCCTGGTCCACTGAGGGTGCCCCCTCCGCAAAATACCGCTGACATATTTTTTAAAATAAATAATTATGCTCAAATAAGTTTAGTAATGAATTTAACATCTGAAATCACATCTGAGGGGGCACTTGCCCTTGTGCCCCCTATGGGCATGACGCCTCTGACTATAACTAACACATATCCTATGAAAACCCTATTACTACCACTGCCATTACTACTGCCGTCTGTACCATTACCACTACTACTATTATTTCACAACCATAAATACTTCAAGACTAGCAAGCACACCACATTTACTTCAGTAAATGTATTTTTCTAGTTTTATTTTGTTATTTTATTAGGATCCCCGTTAGCTTTTGCTATTGCAACAGCTACTCTTCCTGGGGATCCACAGAAAGCATAAAACATGACATAATACAGAATATTAATAGACAAAAACAGATCAAGGACAGAGGTATGTACATTTAAAATAAGAATATGGAAGGTCCTGTACTAACATAATGCTAAAAAAAACAGAGACCTATACTATAGGCTTAGATTCAGTAGCATCTTTCAATTACACGCTTGCATACATACAGTACATACAGGTAACTGCCAAAATAAAGGAAACGCCAACATAAAGTATCTTAATTGGGTGTTGGGCCACCACGAGCCAAAATAACTTCAATGCGCCTTGGCAAAGATTCTACAACTGCCTCGAACTCTATTGGAGGGATGCGACAACATGACGAGGTGAAAACTCTGTTGATGTGCCATTGAGCAAGGCACTTAACCCTAATTTGCTCCAGGGGCGCCATACTACTATGTCTGACACTGTAAAAAAACAAATTTTACTGCCCATATCTAGTGTATGTGACAATAAAACATATTTGTTTTGTATATTTCCTAAAGAAATTCCATCATTTGGTGTTTTGCTGATGGTGTTGGAAAACACTGTCTCAGGCACCACTCCAGAATCTCCAATAAGAGTTAAATTTGATTAAATTGGGTATTGATCATGATCCGGCCTCAATTAGAAAAGGGGACCGTCTTAAACAGCTAAACCAAAGGGAACGTTTTTGGATTTACAAACTACAGGCCACTAAACACCCTGGTTTAAATGAAGATATGGATTTCTCACTTTTCCTGTAGGGTCGTGAGAGGTCCCTTTGCTGTCATCTAGTGGACATATTGCTCTATTGCCCTCAGCTATGTTTAGACTGCTTTGGTCCATGTTTGCTGTGATCTAGTGTACTATAAAATAGATGCCTCTCCTATTCTTACCACTTTGCCCAGTCATATTCAAGGTTAGAACTACTTTTCTAGGGGTTCTGATGCTTCTAGCCTTGATTTGCATTTTGATAACATATCTACAGTATTTTACTTTTTAATGTGTAAAGTATTGCTTACTAGGTGTTGTCCAATGAATTCTGTAAGCACTCCCTCTTCAAATCAGGGTTGATTGGAAAACGCTGTTCAAAAGAGGACATTGTATTATCATATCTTTGTACTCCCTGACGACAGCCATGCAGCCGAAACGCGTCAGAGTTTTTAATCTTTGTTTCCATTGAACATGCCATACAAATAAAGGCATTTTAATTAATTATATGAAGAGTGCCTTGGTCCTCTTTTCCTTTTGAAGAGTTCAATTAGATTGGTGACTGAGATGGTCATGGCATATGGTTTACATCATTTTCATGCTCATCAAACCATTCAGTGACCCCTCAAGCCCTGTGGTTGTGGGCATTGCCATCCTATGGGGGCATAGTTTTGGTAGCCAAAATAATGGCCAGCCCAGCATTTTTATAGCATGATGGGATGTTAATTGATTAATTAACTTAGGAAGCACACCTGTGTGGAAGCACCTGCTTTCACTATATTTTCCCTCATTTACTCAAGCGTTTCCATTATTTTGGCAGTTACCTGTACATCAGTTTACATATACATACAGTGGGGGGGAAAAGTATTTAGTCAGCCACCAATTGTGCAAGTTCTCCCACTTAAAAAGATGAGAGAGGCCTGTCATTTTCATCATATGTACACGTCAACTATGACAGACAAATTGAGATTTTTTTTTCAAGAAAATCACATTGTAGGATTTGTAATGAATTTATTTGCAAATTATGGTGGAAAATAAGTATTTGGTCACCTACAAACAAGCAAGATTTCTGGCTCTCACAGACGTGTAACTTCTTCTTTAAGAGGATCCTCTGTCCTCCACTCGTTACCTGTATTAATGGCACCTGTTTGAACTTGTTATCAGTATAAAAGACACCTGTCCACAACCTCAAACAGTCACACTCCAAACTCCACTATGGCCAAGACCAAAGAGCTGTCAAAGGACACCAGAAACAAAATTGTAGACCTGCACCAGGCTGGGAAGACTGAATCTGCAATAGGTAAGCAGCTTGGTTTGAAGAAATCAACTGTGGGAGCAATTATTCGGAAATGGAAGACATACAAGACCACTGATAATCTCCCTCGATCTGGGGCTCCACGCAAGATCTCACCCCGTGGGGTCAAAATGATCACAAGAACGGTGAGCAAAAATCCCAGAACCACACGGGCGCAGTGGTCTAAGGCACTGCATCGCAGTGCTAACTGTGCCACTAGAGATCCTGGTTCGAATCCAGGCTCTGTCGCAGCCGGCCGCGACTGGGAGACTCATGGGCGGCGCACAATTGGCCCAGCGTCGTCTAGGGTAGGGGAGGGAATGGCCGGCAGGGATGTAGCTCAGTTGATAGAGCATGGCGTTTGCAACGCCAGGGTTGTGGGTTCGATTCCCACGGGGGGCCAGTATAACAAATATATGTAATCACTAACTGTAAGTCGCTCTGGATAAGAGCGTCTGCTAAATGACTAAAATGTAAATGTAAATGTAGTGAATGACCTGCAGAGAGCTGAGACCAAAGTAACAAAGCCTACCATCAGTAACACACTACACCGCCAGGGACTCAAATCCTGCAGTGCCAGACGTGTCCCCCTGCTTAAGCCAGTACATGTCCAGGCCCATCTGAAGTTTTCTAGAGTGCATTTGGATGAACCAGAAGAGGATTGGGAGAATGTCATATGGTCAGATGAAACCAAAATAGAACTTTTTGGTAAAAACTCAACTTGTCGTGTTTGGAGGACAAAGAATGCTGAGTTGCATCCAAAGAACACCATACCTACTGTGAAGCATGGGGGTGGAAACATCATGCTTTGGGGCAGTTTTTCTGCAAAGGGACCAGGATGACTGATCCGTGTAAAGGAAAGAATGAATGGGGCCATGTATTGTGAGATTTTGAGTGAAAACCTCCTTCCATCAGCAAGGGCATTGAAGATGAAACGTGGCTGGGTCTTTCAGCATGACAATGATCCCAAACACACCGCCCGGGCAACGAAGGAGTGGCTTCGTAAGAAGCATTTCAAGGTCCTGGAGTGGCCTAGCCAGTCTCCAGATCTCAACCCCATAGAAAATCTTTGGAGGGAGTTGAAAGTCTGTGTTGCCCAGCGACAGCCCCAAAACATCACTGCTCTAGAGGAGATCTGCATGGAGGAATGGGCCAAAATACCAGCAACAGTGTGTGAAAACCTTGTGAAGACTTACAGAAAACGTTTGACCTGTATCATTGCCAACAAAGGGTATATTACAAAGTATTGAGAAACTTTTGTTATTGACCAAATACTTATTTTCCACCATAATTTGCAAATAAATTCATTAAAAATCCTACAATGTGATTTTCTGGATATTTGTTTTTCTCATTTTGTCTGTCATAGTTGACGTGTACCTATGATGAAAATTACAGGCCTCTCTCATCTTTTTAAGTGGGAGAACTTGCACAATTGGTGGCTGACTAAATACTTTTTTTCCCCACTGTACACCTGATTTAGGTCAGATAGGGGAGAGGCGGTGTGCCGTGAGGTGTTGTTTTATTTGTTGTTGTTTTTGAGCACATTTTGCTGTTTGTTTGAGTAATTTGAGATGGAAGGGAGTTCCATGTAAACGTGGCTCTGTATAATACTGTGCGTTTCCTTAAATTTGTTTTGGATTTGGGGACTACGAAGAGACCGCTGGTGGCATGTCTGGTAGGGGTAAGTATGTCTGTCAGAGCTGTATGTTATTTAATTATACAGACAACTTGGAATCTTTAACACAGTAATATTTCTCATAAAAACAAGAAGTGATGCAGTACATTTTTACTCTACTTTGAGCCAAGAGAGACTGGCATGCATCTTGTTGATATTGACCTTCTGTTTACAGTGAAGCGCAAGACATGCTGTTCTGTTGTGAGCTGCAGCTTTCCTAGCTCCTTCTTTGTAGCTCCTGACCATATAACTGGGCAATAGATGTGATAGAACCAGAGCCTGCTGGACTTGTTTGGTCGAAAGTGGTGTTAAAAATGCACCATCACAGACAGACCCATCCCCATCTTTACAATAGAATCAAAATGCCTTGACCATGATCATTTACAGTGTACGGTAACACCAATAACTTTATTTTCCTCTACTTGATCAACAGCCACATCATTAATTACCAGATTCAGCTGAGGTCTAGTACAAATCATTCCCTGAGTGTGAATTATGCCGTCACATTCGGGGTGTCTCAATTCTTTTCACGGGACCTCCTATGGTGCACACTTTTTTTAATGGACCTAATAGTAAAGACGCCATTTAAGGATAATAATTGTTTTCTGAGTTTTTTTTAAAAAAAAATTTGGGGGGGTGCATGAACACAACCAGTCATGATGTTTTCATCTTATTGTCAAACAAATCACTTCAAAAAGTAGACTACATGCGCATGTTCGTCCACTCCAAACTAATTGCAGCATTTTTTGTAGAAAGAAAAGTTGGGACACCTGAAAAGGGGCTGAGATATGGGACTTTCCCAGGATGACAAGTGCATCCCAATAACTGTGCAGCCACATGGAATACATTTTTTAAAACCATGGCACAGAGGTGGGGGTGTATGTTAAATTTGGAATAAGCTTTTATTTTAATATTTACCACTGTAGCAGTACAAATTGAATTTTAAACAAATAGAAGAATGGTTGCATTATTTAGAACCCCCCCCCCCCCCCCCCCCCCCCCAAAGTTTGACTTTGTTGCATTTAGTGCGACTCATGTCTCATTCAGGGGGTCTGAGACCCACCTGGGCCCTCCGTAATTCGCACTCTGCTTTTAGTTTTCAATATGTTCAGGATTAGTTTATTACTAGGCACCCATTCTAAAACTGACTGCAACTCTTTGTTTAGGGTTGCAGTGATTTTGCAAGTGTGGGTGCTGACATGTATAAATCAAATTTCAAATGTTATTGGTCACATACACATATTTTGCAGATGTTATAGTATAGTGTTGAATCATCTGTGCGCATAGGCTTTGTTTAAGGCTAATGGTAGATCATTAGTGAAAACAGTAAAGGTCCAAGAAGGCTCCCTTGTGGAATACCACACTTTTTACATTAGAGAAGTTCCAATTAAAGTAAAACCCCTCTGTTCTATTAGATACATACTGTAGCTTTCTATCCATGATATGGCAGATGTAAAGTTTTTTCAATAACAAATTATGATCAATGATATCAAAAGCAGCACTGAAGTCTAACAATACAACTCCCACAATCTTCTTCATTCAGACAATCAACAGTAATTTGTGTCAGTGCAGTACATGTTGAGTGCCCTTCCCTATAAGGATGCTGAAAGTCAGTTCCATAAATTTACTGAGAACTGGCAGCAAGCTGATTGGTCGGATGTTAGAGCAAGTAAAGGGAGCTTTACCATTGCTGGGTAGTGGAATCACTTCAGCATCTCTTCAGAATTGTGGACAAATACTTTTCACAAGACTCACATTAAAGATATGGCAAATAGGAGTTGCAATATATTTAATATGTGCCAATTAGTAATGTAATCAGGTGTAATCCAATGTTTTTGGTTTGTGTGTGACCTTGTTTTTATGTGTGTTTAGGTACAAGCTCTCTACCCGGCCAGTGTACAGAGAAAAGCAGAATATCTTCACCGCCCTGTTGTGGAGGTGCTGCACAGGACACGGAGGGGAGAACTGCGAGGAAACGGGTACTGATACAGAGCTACACACAACTGATACACACATGGTATAAGAAGTAAACTTATGGTGCAATATGCCTCCACAGGCCTACTCTAGATTTTCTCCTATATTAGTAAAGTTATCTCAAGCAGATTTCCTGTGTGTGAAATGGCCCTTAACTCTGCGAGACGGACCGGCTTGGAAATGCATGTGTTTACGAAAACTATGGAACCAATAAAAGTAACACCCTCTCTCTGCACTCCTGCTCTCTTCCTCTTTTCCTATCTCCCCCTTCCCCAGTAGCTGATGGCCATATATCTGACCCTACAGACCCCACCATGGCAGGACGACCAGGACGACCACATTCAGGAGACACTGAGCCTCACCACACAGGTAGAGGTCTGCACATCTGACCCATCTGTTTACCTATTGGGGGGGGGGGGGGTGACTGGGTAAGCTGTCCTCAATCAAATGCCAAGTGCCGCCCTCTCTGACTCAAAAGGAATAAACGGAGGAAACGCCAGTGGCCCAGGAGAGCGACTGTGGGAAGTTCGTCACTTCCCGGGGGAGGGAGGAAAGGGTTTGTGAACTGTTCTCAGGACATCAAGCAAGGCCTTAAAAGGGTGTGTGACCCCATTCCATCCCAGCCTGCCCTACCCCCTCTAACTATGGCCCTCGCGTGTAGCTAGGAACCCAAACACACTGAGTCACCCGTGCACAAACACTGCCTGAGACACTAGGGACCTAAAAAGAACCCTCTGCCCTTTTGGGCCAGTTTTAGGTAAAAAACTAAGAGTCCAAAACAAAGACATAAAGTCCCCCGTTATCGGCTAGTCCGCTCTCAGTCCCTCCACGTCCCTTATTGAGAGGGCTTCCTAAACTGCAGAGGGCTCATATAATTAATTATTCACCACCACTGGAGTCCAATAGCTATTGTATTACACACACTAATCAAGCACACACACAGGGTTGGCTGAAGTGGGGTCAGAAGTGGTGGACAGAGAGCTAACCTAAGGCTATGTTTCTCAGGGTCAGGGGAGAGTTGTCTGCCCACTGACATAGCTACTGCTCTGTGGTCCTGTCCCAGTCCATGAGGAATCATATAACTACAATCCAAGTGCTGTGATCACAGTTCACATCAATAGATACAACAATGTGCCACTGGAGAAACAAGGACAAAGTGAGGTTAAACATCTTTACCTTGATAAAAGCCATGGTTGAAATCCTCCTTCTCCTAAAATTCTATCCATCTGTCTGTTATCTGTCTAGGCGCTCAGTCTAGACTCACCCACCAGCTTGAGCGGGAACAGAATGACTTCCAGGTGTCTGAGAATCCTCTGTACGAGAGCCATCCCTCAGAGGCTGACAACAACAACTACACACACACAGATCCCCGAGAGCCCCCCTCATACCCTCAACAGGCCCAGGAGCACATCCCTCACCATGGCTACGACCACCCCCACCACCCGCACCCCTACCCCAACCACCGCCCGCAGGACTTCAATCATGGAGGTAAGTTGGGACCCTAGAATCACCAGTACTGTACTAACATCATGTTAATCACACTGGGCAAAAGTTAGGGGAACGTTAGGAAGCCTGGTTAAATGTTATGTTAGGACCACCATGACCAGGATTGTGACTGTGCTTTAGGAGGTAGAATGTTTTCACCACTGCCAAAATCGGGGCCATGAAAAGGAGGCACTGTTGTCATCGGCAACACCCCTAACATCATCTATCAACCTCTTTGAGACACTCTCATGCAAACACATGCTCACTCAATATCTCATACGCAATAACAAACCTGCAAGGAATGGGCCATTCAATGTCAATACAAAACAACTCTTTATACAGAACCAAAAGTGAAAATCAACAGCAAAATCCTGTCTCTAAGCTCCTGTTTAGCATGTTTACACTCCCAGCTCTTATTTATGCACACTGTCTGTCTCATCCACTTCCCCTGAGAGAATTGACAGGCTTTAGACTAGTGCAATAAATAATCCACAGTTGACCGGAGGAAGGCTTGACCAAGGAAAATACATGTAAGGGGGACTCCATTCCTCTGCAGTGACAATGCCTGCATAGTGTCCCCCCACCCCCGTCATTAGCTTCCTTGTCAGGAAATCCTCTCTTTCTTCTGGAAAAAATGTCCCCCCATACATTGTATACGGATGATGTAATCCACGATAGGATGGTGACATAAGGGGTCTAATATACTGTAGTGTGAGGTCTCATATTATAGCCACACACGGTAACATAGCCGCTGGAAGTAGGGGTGCTGGAGGTGCTGCAGCAGCCCCTGGTGGTGAAATCTTTAAAATGTAAGAATCATAAAAAATTATAACGATTTTTCATTGCGTTATTGATATAAATGATCATCGGTAGGTGTATGAGAGAGACAAAAACATGGGATATTTATAGCCTATTTGGGCCCCATTCTGCAAGGAGAGCTCTCAGCTCTGTTTTGTAAGTATTGCGCTCATGATATGCTATTATCTATTCAGTTGTATGGGTTTGGAGTTGGACACGCGATCTGCTGTACGATAGACAGTTTAGTTTGAGTTGAGTCAGGTTTCTTTCTCTCCCTCTCTGTCCTTTCCCCTCTTCCATAAGCATCACGTGAGTTTCACGTTTGGGGAAGCAAATTTTCACCATAAAAATGCCTGCAACCATCTAATCTAGGCATATGAAAAGAGGAGACACAAATTATACAATATGATGTCCATCTAACCTGGAGGAGGAAATTATTGTCCAAGTGCCACTGAGAGTTCTGCAGCATCCCCTGATAAATCGAAATCCCCCCCAAAATAATAATGTATATACAGCGGGGGAAAAAAGTATTTAGTCAGCCACCAATTGTGCAAGTTCTCCCACTTAAAAAGATGAGAGAGGCCTGTAATTTTCATCATAGGTACACGTCAACTATGACAGACAAATTGAGGAAAAAAATCCAGAAAATCACATTGTAGGATTTTTTATGAATTTATTTGCAAATTATGGTGGAAAATAAGTATTTGGTCACCTACAAACAAGCAAGATTTCTGGCTCTCACAGACGTGTAACTTCTTCTTTAAGAGGCTCCTCTGTCCTCCACTCGTTACCTGTATTAATGGCACCTGTTTGAACTTGTTATCAGTATAAAAGACACCTGTCCACAACCTCAAACAGTCACACTCCAAACTCCACTATGGCCAAGACCAAAGAGCTGTCAAAGGACACCAGAAACAAAATTGTAGACCTGCACCAGGCTGGGAAGACTGAATCTGCAATAGGTAAGCAGCTTGGTTTGAAGAAATCAACTGTGGGAGCAATTATTAGGAAATGGAAGACATACAAGACCACTGATAATCTCCCTCGATCTGGGGCTCCACGCAAGATCTCACCCCGTGGGGTCAAAATGATCACAAGAACGGTGAGCAAAAATCCCAGAACCACACGGGGGGACCTAGTGAATGACCTGCAGAGAGCTGGGACCAAAGTAACAAAGCCTACCATCAGTAACACACTACGCCGCCAGGGACTCAAATCCTGCAGTGCCAGACGTGTCCCCCTGCTTAAGCCAGTACATGTCCAGGCCCGTCTGAAGTTTGCTAGAGTGCATTTGGATGATCCAGAAGAGGATTGGGAGAATGTCATATGGTCAGATATGTAAAAACAACTCGTCGTGTTTGGAGGACAAAGAATGCCGAGTTGCATCCAAAGAACACCATACCTACTGTGAAGCATGGGGGTGGAAACATCATGCTTTGGGGCTGTTTTTCTGCAAAGGGACCAGGACGACTGATCCGTGTAAAGGAAAGAATGAATGGGGCCATGTATCATGAGATTTTGAGTGAAAACCTCCTTCCATCAGCAAGGGCATTGAAGATGAAATGTGGCTGGGTCTTTCAGCATGACAATGATCCCAAACACACCGCCCGGGCAACGAAGGAGTGGCTTCGTAAGAAGCATTTCAAGGTCCTGGAGTGGCCTAGCCAGTCTCCAGACCTCAACCCCATAGAAAATCTTTGGAGGGAGTTGAAAGTCCGTGTTGCCCAGCGACAGCCCCAAAACATCACTGCTCTAGAGGAGATCTGCATGGAGGAATGGGCCAAGATACCAGCAACAGTGTGTGAAAACCTTGTGAAGACTTACAGAAAATGTTTGACCTGTGTCATTGCCAACAAAGGGTATATAACAAAGTATTGAGAAACTTTTGTTATTGACCAAATACTTATTTCCCACCATAATTTGCAAATAAATTCATAAAAAATCCTAAAATGTGATTTTCTGGATATTTTTTTCTCATTTTGTCTGTCATAGTTGACGTGTACCTATGATGAAAATTACAGGCCTCTCTCATCTTTTTAAGTGGGAGAACTTGCACAATTGGTGGCTGACTAAATACTTTTTTCCCCCACTGTATATATATTATTTAAATAACTTATTTTCTCACAAAATGTGTGAACTAGGCCTTTATTACTCCTGTAAGAGCAGAAAAAAACACTAAACTGTTTGCCACTATGCAATGCTTTTCATAAAGGGGAATTTTCTTTCTTCACACCTGGCAGCACCGCCAACTCAAAACATCTTCCCCAGAAAAGTTGAGCCTCTAGTTTTTTGGGGTTGGTGGTAATACTTCACTTTTCCCATAGTGTTCCATCATCATCATATATGAATTACAGTGCTATGCACAGTGAGGAGAGTCATAGTTCTTGCTGTTGTGGTACATTCTCACTTCCTATGATCTTCTCCTTGTTTGGGAAAGACTCAACAGGCTAAGGCCATGACGTAAAGTCTGGATAAAGAAATTACTGATCTGACTTCTATCATGTCAGACTAAAGACAATCGGCCTACAGTTTATTTTTAGCATAGCAGGGAAATTGGTGAAGGGGCTAGCTAGAGTATGCTAGCCTGCACATCTATTTGAAAACACCACCTAACTACAGCACTACTTACCTACTTCTTTTGATCTGTGTGATCTTTTTTTTACAGAACACAACCAACTCTTCGAACTTTGTACAACTCATGGCAGGGGGTGACCTGATACTTCCTCTCTCAGTATGACCACACTGTATGACCTCTGACCTCTTTGTGGCACAGCATGTGGGAAGAGTTTTTTCTGCCTGAATAAATGGAGGGTGTTTCCAATGTTATTAGAAAAACAAGCCCTGAATGATGAAAGGCCCTCCGATCACATAGATTACACTTTAGAGCACAAGCAGAAATAGCTTGGAGGGGGGTCTGGACTCTGTCCAGATATTAGGGTGACAGCGTAATAATTTACTCATTCCCAGGGGGCATAGCTACATGTGGGTGGGGGAATTCAATGTCACATACGCACTCATGCAGACGAGTATGCACACACACATGCAGGCACACACGCACATGCTTGTTTTACTATCCTTGTGGAGACCAAACCATTTATTCCTATTCAAAATCCTATTTTCCCTAACCTTAACCCTAATTGTAAACCTAACCCCTAAGCCTAAAATAGCCTTTTTCTTTGTGAGAACTGGCAAAATGTTCCCACTTGTCTGAATTTTCCTTCACTATTCTTGAGAGGACTTCTGGTCAAGGATAGTAAAACTATAAACACGCACACATGCATGCACACGCACACCCCCCCACACAATTTCTAGGAGGAATGTGAGAATCCCTGGAGCCTGTAGCTTATCATTCTAAAAGGAACTGCGTCCATTAGGGCCGTCTCTGGGGTGCACAAACACTGCCACGAAACAAACCCATCCAACAGGGGAAATTAAATGTCAAAATATTGGTCTGGAAATAGCTATGCTCTGTTATTCCTATTTTTGGCAACGTGGCATTTTACTTTGGCTTCTTCAGCAAAAATAAATACAAATAAATTGTAGATTTCTTGAGACAAAAGGCACTCATAACTGTTCCTGAGAACTAATGGCACAACTGATATGAATGAATAGCTTTTATAAGAGAATACATTCTAACAGGTTTTGAAAAGGAGCCTTGCTATGCTCCTATACACATTGATGTTGGTGTACAGTTGTGGCATCATCTTAGCTTTGTGCACTGTTATGATTTACAAATATAAAGTCGATATGTCTAAAACTGAAAATGAGTCTTGTTCTGAATCCTTATACCGATTGACGTGAGTAAATATTATGCACTGACTTCCTGGTTTGTCTCTCAGACCCAATCAGGGATGAGGTGGAGGCTGTCGCTCTACTGCCCTACCCAGACTCCCTGTCTCCCCTCCCTCTGCCCCACATGATGGCCCTGCTGATGTCCCAGCTTCAGCCCATGTTGGATGGCTTCAACCGCACCTTGGAGCGCCTGACCTTGGAGGTAGGGGGTCTGTCCCGGGATGTGTCCCAGCTCCGGAGCTCTCAGTGGGATGTAAAGGAGGAGGCCCTGCGGGGTGCAGGTGCCGGAGAGGGTCCCGAGGCCTTTGAGGCTAAGCTGGAGCAGAGTTTCCAGGACATCAAGGAGGTGAGGAGGGAACTGGAGAGACAGAGAGCTGAGATGGCGGATAGGCTACACTCCCAGCATGACATGCTGTACTATAATATCACCAACTTCAAGACAGACATCGACGCCAAGATCAAACACAACGACAAGATGTTACAGGTCAGTGAATCCCTCGTTACTGTATCTCATGACATGGTGATGAAACTATTTAATAATTACTAACTTCGAGACTTAGTTCCTCACTTATGTGTTAGTATCATACACTTTTAGACTTTTTATGGGCAATAAGTAAGAATGTTCTTCATGCCTTTCATATGTTTCCCGGGTAGGTTAATCTCCAGTCCATGAATGCCACCCTGTCAGACATGAAGCTCGAGCAGGAGCGTCTGAGTGAAGAGCTCCAGAGGGACCTGACCAGCCCAGGGGACAGGAGAGAACCCAGCCAGGTCCAACCCAGTCAGGCCCAGCACCCTCCAGAGGACTCAGCAGTGTGGGAGTCTATCGCTCGTCTGGACAACAAGGTGGTCAACAACACAGTGAGGATGAATGCCCTGGTTGAAGACTTGGAGATAGCCAATGACAACGTCCTGGACCTGAAGAGGGGCTTGCGAGACCTCGAGGAGAACATTGCCCAAACGTGGAGGAACAGCCAGATCCAGTTCATGGAGACGGGCCTGGAGGTGGAGGCGGCTAAAGTAGCCGTGCTGAACCGCGTCAATGAGCTGGCCAGCAACCTAACCATCCGCTCGGAGCAGCTGCAGGAAATGGAGACTGACATAGACTACCTGTACACACAGTTCTACAAGAACGTCAGCGCTGCCAAAGACTGTGACTGCAAGGCATTCACCGCCACCATCTCCCGCTTGGAGCAGGGTCTGACCAACGTCACAGAGCTGGCCAACGACAACCGGCTGGCCCTGGAAGGGAGTACCGATGCTGGGTCGGAGCGCTGGAGTCCCTCTGTGGAGGACATCTACCAGGGGTTGGATCACGTCAAGGCCTCCCTGGCCTTTGAGCAAGAGAAGAGCAGGACTCTCCACCACAATATGACCCAGCTGCTGGCCTCCTTCCTGGACAGCCAGAGGGACGTGCTCAGCCTGCGGGAGAGCGACGAGCGGTTGGTGGCTGAGATGCGTCACCTCTCCAGCTCCTTCTCTTCTCTGTTGAAGGACACCATCCGCCACAATGATGTGCTGGAGATGCTCCTGGGGGAGGAGGTGATGGAGTTCATGGACTGGCCCCTAAGCAACCAGGAGGCACACTCCATCCCTGCACTGCAGGAGAGGCTCCGCCACATACAGGAACAGATCAGGGGCCAGAACCTCAGCCTCACCTCCCTGCTGGAGGCCGCCCAGGCAGGGGAGGTCCCAGCCTCAGATGAGCCCTCTGCGATGGTAGACTTGGCCTCCCGCGGCCTGAAGAGGAGGAGTGGAGACCAGAGGCGTGACCACCTCATGGTCTCAGCAGCCTCTGACGACCGGCAAGACTACTCAGACAGTGACCTGTGGAGCCTTGAGAAAGCAGTGGAGGAGCTGGGGGAGAAGGTCCACAGGCTGGAGTACAGGCCTTGCTCTGCCAGCTGCAACAACACCAAAGATAGCGCCAAACTGCAGGCAGAGGTGGCCTGGCTTAGGAGGGGTTTAGAGAATCATTTGCGTCTCTTCAAGAATGTTTTCAGTAACCCAGAGGGGCTGGCCGACTCAGAGAGCACCCTGGACTTGGACCAGCTATGGGCCCTGATGAAGAGGAAGGAGGGGAAGAGACAGAGGAAGCGCAATAACAACAAAGAGGGACTCAAAGACCATATTGGAGACAGAGCTAACTTTCGCAGCAGGAGGGATACATCAGGTAGGCATCAATCTATGAAAGACAAAAACACACTATCATTTCTACCTCTCAATCATGCTGGGCTACATTTCTTTCTAACCTCCACTAAGACCGGAATTGCACTTTAAACTGTATAAAAATAAAGATAATCAGAGATCTATACAGTGAAACACCCTCAAGTCAGTGTTCGCAATGGGTTAAAACAGGAGTTGCTTAGCATGACTGAGAGAATCAACACAAGACTGCCCCCTGGTGAACAAAAATGTTTTAGTTCAGACTTATAAGTGGTCTAAGCAGAAGTATAGTGAGTGTCTATGGGTTACACGCATTTCGCTACACCCTCAATAACATCTGCTAAATATGTGTATGCAACCAATATTTATTTTTCTATTTGATACTGCCCATGAACAGTTAGCAGATAACAGCTGATAATTCCCTGTCTCTTCTCTTTCAGTGCTATCCAAGCTGGGGGACAGTCCCCTGATGTTTCTGGCCAGAAGCATACAGCGCAGCAGACCAAGTGAAAGCAGCCTGCTGGTGTTTGAGGACACATCCCTAAACCTCGGCCAGATGTACTCAACTCACACTGGGATGTTCCAAGCACCTTTGGCAGGAGTCTACCTCTTCGTGCTGACACTGAACTTTAAACCTGGCCCTTCGCTGTCTGGGCTGAGGAGAGAGAACAGTGAGCTGGCTGCCACTCTGCATCAGGACAAGATGGCATTGTTTGGCCCCGTCACCCGTATGTGTCTCCTACAGCTGCGGCAGGGAGAGGAACTCCACCTTGAACTGTATGAGGGGACTCTGGTGACTGATGACCCCAAAGACAACACCTTCGCTGGGCTTCTGCTTTATCAGACCAACTGAGGAAGCTGGGGCTGCTCTGTATAGTCAGAGGAGAGATGTTGGACTGAGAGCAATCAATCACTAGACTGAAAGCCGCTATGCCACCTGTGTTTCAATCCCTTGCATTGATATTGGGAGGGGGAGTGTATGTAGAAGGTTCAGGGAGTATAAACATTTGTCATACAGTATACCACTTAAAGCATTGCAACACACCTTCCCTGAAGTTATTCTAGGTTGTTATAAGGGAAACAGGAACATTTGAGCATTCTAGACCATAAAACTATGTTCTATAGAAACACTGACTCACAGAATATAAGGTGGGCTCTTTAAGATATATCACATGCTCCCCTCCATGCTACCATAATACATGGCTTTCAGTGCTTTATGACTGCAACATTTCTAATACAGTGCCGTGAAAAAGTATTTGCCACCTTTGAAATTTTCTCTACTTTTGCATATTTCTGATACTGAATGTTATCAGATCTTCAACCAAAACCTAATATTAGATAAAGGGAACCTGAGTGAACAAATAACACAATTACATACTTATTTCATAAACAAAAGTAATGCAACACTCAATGCACCTGTGTGAAAAAGTAATTGCACCCTTACACTCAATAACTGGTTGTGGCACCTTTAGCTGCAATGACTCCAACCAAATGCTTCCTGTAGTTCAGTCTCTCACATCGCTGTGGAGGAATTTTGGCCCACTCTTCCATGCAGAACTGCTTTACTCAGCGACATGTGGGTTTTCAAGCACAAACTGCTTGTTTCAAGTCCCGTCACATCTCAAATGGGATTAGGTCTGGACAAATTTGTTGCTTTTTAGACATTCATGTAGACTTAATTGTGTTTTGGATCATTGTCTTGCTGCATGACCCAGCTGTGCTTCAGCTCACAGACAGATGGCCTGACATTATCCTCTAGAATTATCTGATACAGAGCTGAATTCATGGTTCCTTCTATTAAAGGCAAGTCGTCCAGGTCCTGAGGCAGCAAAGCATCCCCAAACCATCACACTAACACCACCATGCTTGACCGTTGGTATGAGGTTCTTACTGTGGAATGCAGTGTTTGGTTTTCGCCAGGCATTAATGGGACCCATGTCGTCCAAAAAAGTTAACCTTTTGAATCTTTGGTACATATAACATTCTTCCAAGAGTCTTGATGATCATCTAGGTGCTTCCCGATGCTTTTTGACAAACTTGAGTAAACTTTTTGGACGACATGGATCCAGACCTAATCCCAATTGAGATGTTGTGGCAGGACTTGAAATGAGCAATTCATGCTTGAAAACCCACAAATGGCGCTGAGTTAAAGCAGTTTGCATGCAAGCGCGGCATTTGGTTGCAGTCATTGCAGCTAAAGTTGGCACAACCAGTTATTGAGTGTAAGGGGGCAATTACTTTTTCACACAGGAGAATTGGGTAAGCATTACTTTGTTAATTCAATAAATAAAACAATTATATATTATTGTTATTTGTAAATGCAGGTTGCCTTGATCTAATACTAGGTTTTGGTTGAAGATCTGATATCATTCAGTATCAAAAATATGCAAAAATAGAGAAGGGGCAAATACTTTTTGATGGCAGTGTACATGTATAAGGCCCCAGGTAGAGAAACTGACCCTTTTCTACACAACACAGGCTCCATACTGACTAGAGTGAATAACTCAATCAAGTGAACAGAGTAATGGATTTTAAACTATTACAGTACATCAATATACTTCACCTTTCTCATCCAACAGATGGAAGTGCTAGACACCTTCACTGGTTTTAGCCTCATTCTCCAGTCAAACCAACACAGTTCATTGGAAGAAAATGAAACAATAACCCAAGACCAGACCACAAAGTTGTGTACTAAAATAAGGTTATTTACTTTAAAATTGATACATTGGACAGGCTGTGTACAGAAACAGAACAGTTTTCTTTCCTTGGTAAACTCATAAAGGCACCTTTTAACCAGATGCTGTATAAAAACACATTAAAGATTAACATATTAGAGATTATTCTATATGGTTTTCTTGCATATTACAAAGAGGAAAACACTAGTTACTGCTCGGGTGAAGTATTTTTCTTAAATATCTACCATATGTACTGTTAGCTTAATTCACAAAGAAACTGTCCTGACACACTAGGTTGCAAGTGATTTCAGAGGACATGCACACTCAACATGTGCACAAAACCACAAGCACTGCTCTGCAAGATAGGTTTTTTTTATGAATTTGTATGGACACAAGGGAAGCAAAAGCAAACATTGGATAGATAGAGGCAGACACAATAGTAGCAGGGACGTGGAAGAGAACGTTTTAAGAATGCACTGGCCAAGACATGGATCCTATGCAAGAGGTTCAACAAGGGGCACAATCTGTGACAACACTTCCTCATCATCATTCTGCTGCCATGTTGTGTTGCTACCATGCTGTGTTTCTGCCATGCTATGTTGTCGTCTTAGGTCTCTCTGTATGTAGTGTTGTGGTGTCTCTATTGTTGTGATGTGTGTTTTGTCCTATATTTTTTATTTGTAATCCCAGCCCCCGTCCCCGCAGGAGGCCTTTTGCCTTTTGGTAGGCCATCATTGTAAATAAGAATTTGTTCTTAACTGACTTGCCTAGTTAAATAAAGGTAAAACAAAAAAAAAAAAAAACTGTCAAGAGGTGAGGACAGTGGTTCAGCCGAGGATATTATTTATGTTTTCATTTCATACTTCTCCTTTTCAGACCTGTATGAAAGGTGTAAGCTCAAAATATGGAAATGCAGTACCTCTTGTGGTAAATGGTAATACATTGGCTTGCTCTACCCTCTGCACTGGCCCGCAGATAACATCACTGAGGAAACCTGGGAATTTGTATATATTTGCATGTGTCCCAAAACAAGCTGAAGTGTTTTCACTTCAGTGTTGCACTACTGTATGTTCCCTCTGTACTTGGCTGTAATTCTGTAACACGTACCTGAGGAAGCTTGATGGATCAACAAACTTCATTGACATTCCAGCTCTGACTAAATGTTGTTTTTAGCACAAGTACCATAGCATTGAGCAAGCTATATAATTGTATTTTAAGTTAATAAAATATTGCATATTTTCTGAACTAATGTGGACTTCTTGTGAGCACTATGACAAACCTGACATTGGACATGTAGGACCCCGGAAGACAAACCATTACTAATCAATTTCTCTGACCCACTACTGCACATTGCAACAAGCTTAGTCAACGGTACAGTTCAACGGCTGAGCTCACATGAGGTTTGGCAATATGAAAGTTGGCCACTTAATATCTATCTGTAACTCAACATGGAATGAAAAGCAAGAGAAGAGCAGGGGGAATTCATCTTATACAGTTGAAGTCGGAAGTTTACATACATCTTAGCCAAATATATTTAAACTCAGTTTTTCACAATTCCTGACATTTAATCCTAGTAAAAATTCCCTGTTTTAGGTCAGTTATGATCACCACTTTATTTTAAGAATGTGAAATGTCAGAATAATTGTAGAGAGAATTATTTATTTCAGCTTTTATTTCTTTCATCACATTCCCAGTGGGTCAGAAGTTTACATACATTCAATTAGTATTTGGTAGCATTGCCTTTAAATTGTTTAACTTGGGTTAAATGTTGTTTCGGGTAGCCTTCCACAAGCTTCCCACAATAAATTGGGTGAATTTTGGCCCATTCCTCCTGACAGAGCTGGTGTAACTGAGTCAGGTTTGTAGGCCTCCTTGCTCGCACACACTTTTTCAGTTCTGCCCACACATCAGGGCTTTGTGATGGCCACTCCAATACCTTGACTTTGTTGTCCTTAAGCCATTTTGCCACAACTTTGGAAGTATGCTTGGGGTCATTGTGAATTTGGAAGACCCATTTGCGACCAAGCTTTAACTTCCTGACTGATGTCTTGAGATGTTGCTTCAATTTATCCACATAATTTTCCTTCCTCATGATGCCATCTATTTTGTGAAGTGCACCAGTCCCTCCTGCAGCAAAGCACCCCCACAGCATGATGCTGCCACCCCCATGCTTCTTCGGCTTGCAAGGAATCCCCTTTTTCCTCCAAACTAAACAATGGTCATTATGGCCAAAAAGTACAATCTTTGTCCCCATGTGCAGCCATAGTGTGGCTATTTTATGGCGGTTTTGGAGCAGTGGCTTCTTCCTTGCTGAGTAGCCTTTCCGGTTACGTCGATATAGGACTCGTTCTCCTGTGGATATGGATACTTTTGTACCCATTTCCCCCAGCATATTCACAAGGTCCTTTGCTGTCGTTCTGGGATTGATTTGCACTTTTCGCACCAAAGTACGTTCATTTCTAGGAAACAGAACGTGTCTCCTTCCTGAGCGGTAAGACGGCTGCGTGGTCCCATGGTGTTTATACTGGCGTATTATTGTTTGTACAGATGAACGCGCTACCTTCAGGCGTTTGGAAATTGCTCCCAAGGATGAACCAGACTTGTGGAGGTCTACAATTTTTCTTCTGAGGTCTTGGCTGATTTCTTTTGATTTTCCCATGATGTCAAGCAAAGAGGCACTGAATTTGAAGGTAGGCCTTGAAATACATCCACAGGCACACCTTCAATTGACTCAAATGATGTCAATTAGCCTATTAGAAGCTTCTAAAGCCGTGACATCATTTTCTGGAATTTTACAAGCTGTTTGAAGATACAGTCAACTTAGTGTATGTAGACTTCTGACCAACTGGAATTCGTGATACAGTGAATTATAAGTGAAATAATATGTCTGTAAACAATTGTTGGAAAAATATATTGTGTCATGCACAAAGTAGATGTCCTGACCGACTTGCCAAAACTATAATTTGTTAACAAGAAATTGGTTGAGTGGTTGAAAATCAAGTTTTAATGACTCCAACCTAAGTGTATGTAAACTTCCGACTTCAACTGTATCTATTGATGTGGACAAGAATCAATGGGGAATTGGGACAGCAGAAATGTCAGATTAATCATTTTTAGAAAGGCCCAATTGATGTGTGCCCTCTGAGCTGCACACCTTTGTATTGGCTTCATGAGTTTCATGGCCGTAGAACACGAGGGCCAAAATATAATGCCATTTTAGTGTTCTAAACTTTCCTCCCAGAAGACATAGAGAACATACAAGGGAACACATATGAAGAAGGCGTAAGCATAGAGACAGGATGGGACACAAACTCCCTATTCACAAATGTCATTTCATTACAATTTAGCATTAAATATTTTGTACCAGACTGCTTCTTTGTGTCAGAACATAGATTTTTTGAGAAGTTACTGAGTTGAGGTTTATTGTAGGAAGCACAGTGACTAGTTGATTTAAGGCAAGTCAGGTACCCCCTCTTACAATGTCCTTGGTTGTTTGGATTGCTCGTAGCTCTTGAAGTAGGTCCGGTTTGAAGCCCACTGGACGTGAATACCATTGCAGCATATTGTTCTTTTTTTTTTTGAGTAGGCACGGCATCTATCGACAATATATTTACATATTAAATTCACATATAATTATAGTACCTTATTTCGTAATTACTCTACTTAAGAGTCGAGAGATATATGTTTCAATATGGCAGGAGAAGACTGTCCTGAAAATATTATTTTTGGCATAAAATGTTTACAGGCAAAAATTGAACAGTATTGGCGGGTGGTGACGCTTGCGAGGACAGTGTCTTGGTTTGAAGTGAGGCTTTAAGGTTCCTCCATCATATTCCTTTCTGTCCATCAACATTTGAGCAGGAATATGCCGTCCCCCTCCACACACACACAATGTCATGTTTTGACTTTCACAGAAAGCATTAATTGCAGCACGTTGACCAAGAACTCCTCTGGCCAGGGAGGGAATAGGGGGAAGAGCCTCTGGCAGCAACATCTGTCAGTTGTGGTGATAGAGATTCATGGAGGTCGAGGCGCTATGCCCAAGGCCCCGTTTTCTCCCATACCCTGTTCCTCCTCCCCTGCCATCTGAACAGAAGTGACACATTCAGCATTAGGACACACTGGGGAGTTCTGGCTCTCGGTCAGGCTGTGTGGAGTATGTAGGGGAGAAAGGATCAAATTTTGATGTCCTGCGATTCCACCATTTTGGCCAAGGTCTTCTTGACTCGTAAGATGGTGAGGCGCGAGGCGGGGTTGTGGGCCCAGCACTCAGACATCAGCTTCAGCATGGCTCTCAGACACTGTGGAGAAAACACACACACCGCTTTAGGAGTTTGGTCTAATTTAAATAATCACTAAGTACACAGTATTACCTAGGCAGCTCTTTGCTTAATTATAGTAGTTTTTGAAAAAGTACTTATGATACTAAATGCAAATGCTTTCATATGGGGTACCACCGCTACAACTGGATAAAAGATAACCTTAGCTTTCTTTACTCATTTATATGCGTTTATGCACTGCTCTTCAGTTTCTATCTCAAGGGTCTCGTACAGGCAAAACCATATTGCCCTGATAAATCATGACTCACCTCGTCACCGTTCCATCTGTTGGACACGGTGGGCCGCAGCCCTTTAACACACACCACCTCCAGCATGTCCTCAAAAGACGGATCTGCCGGCACCATCTCGTAGTAGGGCAGCTGGTGGTCCTCCACTATCCCTGAGAGAGAGGAGAGGGAGATCATTACGTGTAAACAGAACACTAGTTCCACCATACCGTCAGTGTAGTGCTTTTCATAACCAGTTGAAATCTTAAGCCTATTGCTTTTTTTCTCTGTAGTGACTGGCAGGGCCTAAAATCAATACCCGCGGGTAGATTTTGGCATTGGAGTGTAAGATGTTTATTTCACCAGCCATGTTGGCAGGTGGTCAGGGCTCCACAGTGCAAGCATTTCACACACATTTGAGAATAAAAAAGAGAGTTAGAAGTCAAGTATGAGCACACTGTCACTGACAACTCGAGGGGCTATGTGCCCTCATTGCCACAGTAACATCCCGCCCTTAAAGGGGCAGCTGAACAATTGTCTCTTCGGTAAAATGTTGGTTAAAAGACTGTCACAAAAATGAAATAATATTTAGCAATATAGCACATCACTTCTTACTAGTAATACATTTATTGTTTTAGAAAAATTACAAAGCTCATCTGTTTTTTGTTTCGTTATTTTGGTGTAATTATGGCAAAACAATATCTGAGTGGCAGGTATATTTTTAAATCTACCTGATAGTGGCTGGTTGACCAACAGGTTAGTTTCAGGCCCTGGTGACTAGTCTGGAATATCAGTATCACACACGTACACAAATGCCTGTAGATTCACGACTATAAGGTGTGTGTGTGTATACGCGTCTATATATGGTTGTCTGTGTGTATACATGTCTATTTCGGTGTCTGTCTGTGTCCGTACCTCCTGTTACACAGCGGCGGGCCATCTCCCAGATGATGAGGCCGTAGCTGTATATATCAGCCATGATGTAGGCCTGGAAGTGGTTCTTGTTCAGGGTCTCGTCCAACACCTCGGGGGCCATGTACCTCCGGGTCCCCACCCGTGTACTCAGTGGGGCGTCCACCTCGTTGGTATCACTGACGACAAGAGAAGAACAGAAATTCATAAATAATCCACAGGGAAATGGTCAGTTGCTCCAGAAACAAAACTTCAGAACTGTTTAGAAGAACGGCCATAAGTGAAAACATGGGTCGTATTCATTAGCTCACAAAACTATTGTTGCTTATTGGACAAGTTCAGGTACTCCCTCCCTGTTTCCGTCAGTTTTCTTACGTTGAGTGCCTAATGAACACAACCTTGATTAAAACTTTCATGACTGAGCAGCACTTTACCTGTTGAACTTGACAGCCAGGCCCAGGTCAGCGATGCAGCAGGTTCCATTCTTCTTCATCAGGATGTTCTTGCTCTTGAGGTCTCGGTGGGCGATGGCCGGCTTGCCCTGGGTGCCGTAGATCTCCGTGTGGAGGTGGCACAGGGCGCAGGCAGCAGAGTAGGCCAGCCGCAGCAGGCTCTGGGTGTCCAGCGTGGTGAACTTCAGGTAGTCATACAGGGAGCCGTTCTCATGGTAGTCTGTGATGAGTAAGAGCTGTGTGAAGGCCCCAGTACCCTTGATGTCTGCTGCTATGAAACCTGGAGGGGTGAGAAGAGAGGGGAGGGTGTTTAGTGCTATATTGAGATGTAGGCCTTGCCCTGATACATGACTGTTGACCTCATGTATAAGGGCAAATGTAGGCCTAAGATCACTCCAAGATTATGTCTCAGTCAATCAAGACTCAACATTAAACTTAGATTCAGACTATTTTAGAAGGAAAACTGTAAATGGCAGTATATGGTTTAGATGGAGGCAGAGACGGCAGTCTTCTTTACTACAAGTGAGTGGTAGGAACGAAGCTTACCCAGTATGTTCTCGTGCCTCATGAGGACAGTTTGGTAAATCTCAGTCTCTCTGAACCAACTGGCCTCCTCCCGGGTGAAAAACACCTTGACGGCCACCTTCTCTCCCCGCCAGCGGCCCAGCCACACCTCGCCGTAGCGCCCCTTGCCAATCTGACGTACCATCTGGATCTGCTTGGCAATGGTACGCTGCACCTACAAGACACACCAGGGAGAGGCACTGAGCATTCATATCATATCACGTGTACCACAGATCATAGCTACTACAACTTTTACCATTTGTTCTTTCCTTTATGTGGTATTCGCTGTTTCAAGCAAGATGTGTGCAAATTCTTTAACCTAGCTATGACCAAAGACACACACAAAACAGCTGTTACACTTTCCTGGAAAGCAGAAAAGTCACATTCCATAGCCAAAGGCTTTCTATCCAGGTCACATGCTCCAAAGCCACTCCCTGTGTCGTGTGGGGATCTTACCAGCAGGGGGAGCCCAGAGCCACTGCTAGAGGACTGGGACTGGTTGATGAGGTCTTTGAGAGATTCTCCCACAGGGATGAAGGCCTCATCCTGCTCCAGGTCCCGGTGGTAACGCTGCCTCGCCGTCTGCCACTTGTATCTGAAAATAACACACACAGATCAGTACAGGGCACACATGCTAAAGCTACAATATGAACAATAAGTACTGTGAAGCAAAAGTAAATCATTATTATAAAAGAGGTGAAACAGACTATCCCAAACCCATCATTTAGAAATGCTTAATGGCACCAACAGTTGACTTCTATTCTACCACCAGTACTCAATTCACTGTATATTAGACAGTACATTTGGAATGAGTTGGAATATCTCTTTTTGTTAGCTAGTCCACTGTAGTAGCCAGTCCTACCTGTAGTAACAGACTACCGTGATGCAGATGAGAGTGCAGCAGCACACAGTCATTGATATAAGGAAAGCCAGCCAATGGGCACTGCCAAAGTAGGAACCTGCAAAACAAAACAATTTGAGTCCCCAAATACAATTTCCGACCCAGACAAACTAGCATAAGAATACCCTAGTGGAGTAACAGTTGGCTCTGAGCCTCACCAGTGTCCATTGGGGGAGGTAATGTGGGCTGCAGGTCCCGATTACAGAAGTCTGTATCACAGCATTCGATCGTTCGCCTTGTCTGAGCCCTGGGCGAATCCTGAAACAATGTTTGTTTGCATAACAAGGGTTATTTGGAATCATTAACAAGAACAAAATATGAATAATAGCGATACACTCAGTGGCTAGTTTATTAGGTGATGTACACCACCCCGTTCACGAAAATGGATCTCTCCTACAGACAGTGAGTCACGTGGCTGTGGCTTGCTATATAAAGCAGGCAGACAGGCATCGAGGCATTCAGTTACTGTTCGTTTGAACGTTAGAAGAATGGGCAAAACGAGTGACCTAAGCAACCTTTTTTTTGTGAACAATTATTTAATTTAGTTTTTCTTGCATGTCCTAGACAATTACAGTTTAAAGACATAAATATGTACAGTTCAATAGGTGGAAAACAAACAAACAAAATGTCGAAACAAAAAAAACATACAAATGAAAAAGGACAAAACAAAATAGATTAAAGACAAATCATTTTCAGTATTTCCAAATTAAAACAGTCTATTCAAATGTCATTCTCAACCAACCCAGAGCCACATAGGTAAACTGAGAAAAAGGCAGAGCAGGGCAATGCTATCTCACATTGTTGTTAAATTAGCTCTTGCAAGTGAGATAGCATGTGACCAATTGACCAGAGTTTCGGGCTTGGCCCCACGCAGTGGATCTTTACAGTTGCGCAATGTCCAAGTACATAAGCAACCGACATCTGCAAAGGGTAATACCTGGTTCAAACTAACTCCTTAGAATAGTTTTTTTGCCTGCTGTTAATGCAGCCATAACAATCCGCCCCTAAGTGACTTTGAGCGTGGTATGATTGTAGATGCCAGGCGCGCCGGATCCAGTATCTCAGAAACGGCCGCCCTCCTGGGCTTTTCACGCACGACAGTGTCTAGAGTTTACCAAGAATGGTGCGACCCAAAAAACTAAAACACATCCAGTCAGCGGCAGTTCTGTGGGCGAAAACAGCTCGCTAATGAGCGAGGTCGAAGGAGATTGGCAAGAATTGTGCAAGCTAACAGGCAGGCCACAAACAGAAAAATAACGGTGCAGTACAACAACTCGTCGATCCGTGTCATGGATGGGCTATTGCAGCAGACGACCACACTGGGTTCCACTCCTATCAGCTAAAAACAGGAAGCAGCAGCTCCAGTGGGCACACAATCACCAACACTGGACAATTGAGGAGTGGAAAAACATTGCCTGGTCCAACGAATCCCGGTTGCTATTACTTCATACTGATGGCAGAGTCAGGATTTGGCGTAAGCAGCATGAGTCCATGGACCCATCCTGCCTGGTGTCAATTGAGCAGTGATTGAATGCCATGCCCCGAAGAATTCAGGCTTTTCTGGATGCAAAGGGTCCAACCCGGTACTAAACTTGCCACTGAGTGTACATACACATTCAAGTAAAATGATATAATTGACACCCCTGTGTCCTTGTATTGTCCTGCTCCCTCCATACAGACACAACATGCTTACCTTGCATTGAAAATGTGAGCCTTCATACTTCATGCAGCCAGAGGTCAGAATGGCTTCTCCATTATCATCCTCCTCTATGATGGCAAAACACTGGCCATTCGTCCTACAATACACACATTCAATGAGTACAGTTCCCAAACATACTTAGGTCAGTGTTTTGACCAAACCTGACATTCATCACAGTCAGAGTTGGAACAACCATCTAAATTAAAGACATTCTCCGGTAATGTTGTATACTTTTTAGCCAGTAGTTCTGAAAGTAGCTCTCACGAGCCAAAAGTGGTCCCCAAAAATTGTGTACTATGTCACATATTTGCAGATATGTGCACCACGTCACATTCCTCTCTCTCTCGCTCTGCTGTGGGTGCACCGTGTGCATCTTGCTAGCTGTCACTCATATGGCAAGGGGCTGAAGCTCATTGGTTGAACTCAAATTGCTAGGGGCTGGCCCATGTGGGGGAAATGTAGGGAAAATGGCACAGCACAGCTCCCAGAAAAACAGTCTATCAAACTAGGGATTTTGTGGCAAATTGAGGTAAGACCGTAACTCTTCTCATAGAATATGCATGTATGAACTACACATTGACACATCCAGCCCAAAGCGGGTGGTAAAACAAAAAACGTAGTAGTCGCAAAAGTTCCTGAGCATGTCTTTAAAGATTTGGCCTTTGGGAACATACAGAGTGTATTACGAGGCGGTTGATCACTCACTCGCAGGTGTTATTTTTGTGGTCCTCTGGACAGTGGCCGGAGCAGTAGCAGCTCAGAAAGCGGGCGCCGTCTTCTGGGGCCACCGTGGGGCCGTCTCCGGGCTTCCTGGACTCATGCTTGTGTCCGGTGCCATGGAGCATGTGGTCTGGATTCTGACCAGCTGGATGGATGGAGGAGACACAAGGAGGGAGGGGTAGAGAAGAGACAGGGCGAGAGAGAGAAAAACGGTTTTGTTTATAATGACAGTAAAAATATCACAATCCATCATTCTTTCCTTACTTCCATCTGTTTTTACTGCATGCATCACTATAGTCTTGCATACAGAACATATAAATACATTGTGTAACATTACTTATTCCACCACATCTGGTTTGAAGTTACAGTAGCAAATACTAGGCTATGTAATCATAGTAAACACAATAGCCTTATGGTTATTTTGATCTGCTGTCCAGCCCTCTATTAGTTTCTATCTGAGAGCGGTCTGGTCTGGTCCTGATTGGGTACTCATCTGATGAGCCTGATCCATATATGGCCAGAGGGCTATTTATACTCTGTACTAGTGTCCAGTCAGGGCCATCACATACATGAGTGTAAGCAGAGCAAAATACTGTATAAGGGCAAAGCCAACCTCTGTTGTTCTCTCAGCACAACTTTAGCACTGTTGTCAATCTGATCGCAATTACATATGAAATTGAAAACAACAGTGTGGTTTACTGGAGGAAAAATCTAATATTCATGCAGATGTTGTGGTTCCTAATAATGGCAAGGGTAAGTAAGTACACAGCAAACGTTAACCGCTAAACGCAGTTTATGGTGGTTAAAGTAGCCGAGAGCTCACTGCCAGGACTTTGTATTAACAGGGCATCGGCAACAAATCTACATACACATCTTACGGAGACAGTCAGAGCTATTAAGATTAGATACATGGCACCATGGATACAAGGTCAGGAAAATAACATTTTGCAGAGCAGCACACTAATATTAGGTTAAGTCTCTTATGCTGCATGAAATGTTGTGTATGAGCTCACTGTGTTACTCCTTCTCTCCTCACATTTGTCTGGTACTCCCTCCACCTCTTCTCATGCCCTTTCTCCTGATCTCCTTTCCTCTCCCTCCTTCTTCTGCAATGCCCTGTCCCACTTCCCTTATCATTTCACCTCTTGCCCTCTTATTTTTCCACAGTCCTTTTGCCTTCTACTGCCTGTTGTTCCGCTCTTCCCATATCCCTCTCTTCTTGACTTCTACCTCGTCCTAACCCCTCCTTTCTCTTCCACCCATTTCTCTGCCCCTTACTTATTTTCCTAGCCCCCCTTCGCCCTTTCACCTCTGCCTTTTTCCCAGCTCCCTCCCCCCTCCTCCTCAGGAGAGTGAACCTGGGCTGTGGGGCTCGTGAGCACAAAGAACAAAGTGAGGTCTGTGTGTGGAGCTCAGCGCGGCTGCGGGCACTTCCTCTGGAGCATGACGTGACTCGAGCCTGCTCGAGTTCAGACATGTCTGCAGAGGGCCAGTCACCTGCAAACCTACACTTTGAAACGTCTCGGCAGGAAAGCAACACGGCAGACGTTTTTTTCTCTCCCTGCTGCTGTTGTCTCCATCTCCGCATTCCTTTCCTAGACCCCATTACCGGCTTCAGAGTTGTTGTTCTAGTCTTTCTCTGGTTTTTTTCCTTTCGTTTTACAACAGAGTGTCCTGGTGGTTCTAAATTCAGGCCGCATTCTCCTAGTAATTCTATTGGTAAATGACCATGAAAAGGCGAGCCGAGCGATAAAATAGCTTCTGTTGGGATTCAGTTCAATTTAACAGTTAATTTATACACTGATCGCGTACGTAGAGACTCACTGGCTTACTGACGTCAGCTAGCCTAACTGCGGACATAGACTACTACTTCTACAAATGCTTCACTTTTAGTACTGTACTTCAGCCAACCGAATGTCCAAGAAATGTAATTGAAACCCAATGGGTGGCAGGCAAAAACCTGCCAGTCATAGCTTGGTTTTTGGATCCTTGAGACTAAAATGAATGCTAAACACTTCTACAAACACATAACAGTAGTATCAAAATAAAAGCAACCATTTGAACTCTATATTCTATTATTTCAACAACTAAAGCAAAGCTAATCAGAACTCTCTTCACTAAGATGTTCTATGCATAGAGAATGGACAACTAGGCAAGTGACTCACTACAGTCCTCATTAATGTGTCAAGGGCATATTTCACTAGAACAGATTTATGAACTCCGAGTGAGGAGAAATCACTGTGGCAGGGGTCGTGAGTTCATAACTGTATTGCTAGAGCTGGGGTCCTCGGGCATAGAACAAACACTAATTTGTTGTACAAACAAAGGTGGCAGGGGATACCGGTGTCGTAACCGGCGGCACCACCCTGAAAAAATAAAGAGCTAATGGAAGCCTGAGCAGTTCTCCAGTGAGATAGCAGAGCTGGCCTCAGAAGCTGTGAACCAGGGGCTTTGAAGTCTGCCTTCTATCAGTGAAGGGGAAAACAACACCCAGATTACAGGACTCCAGAGTTCCAACCAGGGTGGTGGGAACAGTCTCTCGGTTTCTTTGCTCTACATCCGTCACAAACACAGTTTCACACACACGTCAAGTACACACACCAGATCCAAAGAAATAAAGCTCAGAAAAGGAGGCAGATAGTCTAGACCTCTTGCCATTGATATTACACACGGGAGATTTAATCAAAATCATATCTGAAATTGTTCCGCTAATAAACTACACTTAAGTGGTGGCATGGCCCAAGGCCCAGTTTGAGCTGGGCTGTCCCTTGGCGATGTCAGATTGGCACAGAGCGGTGTTGGGAGGCAGTGTGGAAACTTATAAACACACAGCAGACTGGAACCGGATCAAACGGGCCAGGCCCCAAATAAAAACCAGAGAGCTATGGGTAGATGGCTCTTTCTCCCTCCCACACTCGTTCTCCTCTCTCTGCTCCTTCACTCTCCCTCTGGGAGCTGTGCTCGGTCTTGACTGGCTTAGGTCATGTTTGAGTGATGGGGGAAAAGGGATTCAGGAGGCTCCGGACGCTTTGATGAGGTGATGAAAGCCTCTTTGATAGTCCACATAAAACTGACAAGTTTTTACTGCAGTCACTGGGGCCTTCGAGGACTTTTGAGGCCTCTCTCTCACTGGAGTCTACAGAGAAAGCCATGTTGACAATACAAGATTTAAAGTTATCATAAATCCCCCAAAGAGCCTCAAGGCCCTTTTTGTTCCTATATGGCCTCGCTAGTGAAGACACCGAGTACCTCTCTCCCCCTCGACTAGGAGGCCTGTGATTGGCTGGGGAGCAGTGGCTGTCAGTGAGGCTGGAAATGGCTGCTGCATGTGTGCTTAATTCTGCCGACAGTCACGGCGGAGTCTGAGGTCTGGCAGAGCACCCCAAGTAATGAGCCTCTCCATCTCCAGTCAGCCACATGCTGCACTCTTAAAGGGCCAGCACACTCCGACGCTAACGAGCCACTCCATCTACAGGCAATGTAATGCATGGCTCTTAAAGGGCCAGCAGCAGAACTTGTTTTTGTCAGATCCAGCCATAAGAGTGCAGCGCCATGAGCTAAAAAGTGTTCTGAACTGGTTATTCTACCAACAGGACACACTGTGGAGGTGAGGCGAGAAATATGTCCTATACCTGCATTAGTGGTGCGCGGGTCAGTGGTTTGTTCACCTGCAGCCGCCCGAAATTGCTAATAACCCATCCGCAACAGTTCGACTATATATGTGATAAAGTGAAAATCTGAGACCCCGCAACCGACCCTAACCCGCTAATATAGAAAATGCGCTGTAGGCTACAGCCAGACACGGCGGAACAGTTTTTTGACAGGGGGTGCAGGATTTTTTTTTGCCTGATTTAGATATGTTACTGCTTATAATTTCCGACATTTTGGTGTGCTATTTGTTAGTCAACTTGTCTATAATTAGATACATGCAGCTTCTCGTCTGTCATTATGTGTTACCCTAGAAGACTAAATAAACCACCAGAATGTCTGAAATTGATGGAATGAATGCTTCAATCTAGTTGTAAGGACATAGAAAGCTGTGAAAACGACCCAACATGTTTCTGATAAGATTTCAGTTCAGCTTGGAGGCATATTACAGTATATGTGGTTGAACTACTATACGCTTTTATGATGCTAATAAAGTTAGCACCTCTACAGACAGTTTTTAACTGCACATTCGCATTCTCACAAGATGCATAAAGAAATAAATCATATTTATTCACTCCTGTTCCAGAGTCAACTTTTAGCCTACATTTGGTGTATAATTTCACAGCAAGAAATGCTTAATTCTGCAGGAGTTAATATTAAGGCTATGTGAGAGGTTATAGACCTACCGTCAGTGTCCAGATTTCAGTTTCCATTTAACCCATCTGAACAGTAGGCTAGTTCCCTTGAAGTGCCATAGGCCTATTTGAAGTCCCAGTCTTGTGACTGTCGAATTTGTACAGCGTCTCACAATCACACATAACATAGCCGGCACTGCTATCATCCTCTTTTACCACTTCACCAAATCTTTCCCAAACATTACCTTTCTGGCCCTTCATTCTTTTTGTTTTCAAATCTCCATTCCGTAGCTTTTCTCTTATTTAATTAAACACTGACATTGTCCTTTTTGCCTCCGTATCAGCGTTAACTTTTCTGCTCTTCCCAAAAGCATTTGGCATGTAGGCTATTCGGCGTACGTACAGGTAGGCCCTACAGCTTTGGCTTACACACTAATGCTAGATAACCTAAAATAATGATAGAAAAACCTCAATGTAGCCTATAGATATACATTTCACAAGAAGTATACATTTATGGATTTTTAAAGGCATTGTTTTCTCTATATTCATCCTGCCCGCCAACCACCGCCCTTCATCCACAAAATATTTAATTAACCTAAACTCGACCGCCCCACAGATATAATCGCGGATCACTAACCTCTCTGTGTGTGTGTGTGTGTGAGAGAGTGAGTGAGAGAGCGCAAAGGAGAGAAAAAAAATAGATCCGTTCACAGCAACAAACCCTAGAGACTATCAATGACACCTTTCTCTCGGACCTTGGGGATGAATCTGGACGGGGAGAGAGAGCTGCCTGAAATTAAATTACAGCTTGAGGTGGGTGAGTCGGCAGGAAGTTGTATGGA